AATGCTGAAAGTAGCATTTAAGTGAGCTTTTACATTAAATGCATATGTATCTACACATGCAAATACACACATACACATACATTCACGTAGGTATGCTTTGCTGATTTCAAGAAATAAAGGACCAATCCATCTCTCAAAAGAAAAATTTTCCTCATATGAGGGAAGACAGTTACCACATTCTGCTTCTCTCATTGTTACTGTGCTATTTAGTATAGGATTACAAGCTGTTAAATTCAAGGTAGAGCTAGACACAAAGAGATAGACACAAAGAGACATAACTTGAGAAAGCTCACCCTCACCAACACCTACAAGTAACATTGCTGAAATGTTATGAGAGTCACATTTTATGTCCCATCCATGTTGGCCTCACAGTATGGCACAAAACTGAAGGTGGAATTGGGGTTTCGGTTTATAGGAAGAGTATTCCCTGAAAACACAGACAGGGAAGGCAAGACCCATGGCCTCTCATCTCCAGGGGCTGGGGACACTGGGAAAAAGGCACTGCCCTGAACATGTAGGTAAGGGTAGTGTGTGGGCAAATCTGCTGCGTTACTTTCTTTTCATGTAGATTTTCCCGAGTTTGAGATGTGGTTCTGGCCTCTTCCTTTATTGATGGGAAACTCCCAGAACTGTGTAGGGAAAAGAATCTCCCTGGAGGAGCTGGCACAGCTCTGGCTGTGGTACACATGCCACAGCCAGATCTGTAAGCTCCAGCATGAGAGTAGGACAACAATGGGTTTCTACCTAGGGAGAAGGTGAGGGGCCAACATTGCTGCGAGTGTGCTTGTGAAAATCTGGTGGGGGTTGGCAAGAAGAAAGCCCAGAGGATTTTTTAAAATCCCTACAACCACTAAACCACCAAACCCCTTTAAAAACCAATGCTTGTAACAGATAATTTCTTCCAGATTTGATACCCAATATCTTTTGCAGCAGGACCAGCCATTCCTTTGAAAGTGGTATTTCTCATTTCAAGAACCATTTCCTACTTTTATAATATAAAACTGGCAGAAGCATTCCTCAGGTGGGTTTATTCAGGAGTCCTTATCTCCAGTCATGTGAACACAAGTTCTCTCCAAAATTACCATAAAATAGACCATAAAAAAATACTTCATTTGTACCTCCCTGTTTCCATCACATTTCCCTTCCCTGTAAGATTCCCGGGCAGAAGAGATATTAAATGATCAAACATCCTAACTGGCACTGTTTATTCCTAGAAGAAAAGCACATCAATAGAACAAGAAGTACTTCAGTTAAGTGATAACAGACCATGTGCCACATTTTGCAAGCTAGTGATCTGTGGATACCAGAGCATAACTGCTAAAAAGAACTAGATACCTTTTCTGTTCTTACTGCCACATAGAAGACAGGACCTGGTGTCAGCTTATCAGTTTGAATTATACCAGTAACGTAAAAAAATGGTCTATGCTGAAAAAGGCACTTGGCTGCTGCCTACTGGTCTACCTGAAGCTCCAATTCCAAATGGTTTGCAGCCTGGAAATTAAAATATTAGACATATATCACAAAAATACCATTTTACAATGAAAATATCATGTGCACATATCTATCATGGTATAGGATATAGCATTATATTCTTTGTATAAGATATCATATATATAATATGAGTAAGGTTAGCAGTGAACCTGACAGCTTACATTTGTCTATAAGCAGATGAACAGAAAAAAGAATAATTAATTGAGTAGCTTTTATTTTTCTCAACTTCTGAAGCATTGAGACTGGCAGCAGGCCCATGGAACAACTGACAATCTTCTGCCAGCTGCCTACTGGTGATACTGAAGTTACAAACTGTGCTTCGTATTGAAGTTATGAATTGTGTTTTATAAACGGTATGTATGGAGAAACAGTTCACCACCAGGTGGCAGATATTCCAACTTAAAGACTTTCAAATGCTGAACAGACCCAAACGGCAGCAATGATTCAAAAAAACCCTTACCTGTCCAAGGATGTATGGGATGGATGCTACCATGCCCCATGGCCCAGGTTACAGCCTATTGACAGTTTAAGAGGTACTGTGTTACAAGAAGATTTAATCCTCAGATAATTTCTTGATGGTTAAGAAAAAAATGATGCCTTTTTGGTCCACTAGGGACCTTCCTAGAGAGAGTAAATATCTAATCCAACACTTGCTCATTTACACCTGTACTATTCTCTAGGCTAGACCCTACATGGGACAAGTAATTTCTTACAAATTCAACTGTGTTGGTTCAGGGTAATGAAACTGGTCCACCAGAGCATTCATGGATAAAATGAAAGGCAGAAAATGAAAATAGTGCCAAGGCATTTCAAGAGTGCTTAATTTACTGTACTAAAGCTATTTAATCCTTCAAAAGCATCATAAGCAATTTCCACATGGTGGGGTTTCTTTGTAAAATGTTCATTTAAGCTCAGTACCACCATTTTGTGTATTTGTGTAATGTGTTATTGCAAATGCTGCAAGGCAGGAACCATTTTTTTCCTGTACTTGTAGAAGGTTTAGCATGCTGGTACTGACAAAGCACTTAATCAAGTAACAGAAGGTCATTATCACAATAAGTCAAGGTGCTTTACAGACAGTTTAATAAGCTTTGAGAAGCTAGTATTTAGTGCGAACAAAGTGGGAGCTGGGAGGCAACCATGAAGTGAATGGACTCTTAATACATGTATTAACTCCCAACAGTCCTAACATTTCAGAGGCCCTATGAGATGAAATGGACTTTGGATAATATAACCTAAGATTTGATTTTACTCTTTTACTCATTATCCATTTGAAAATCCTGATTACTGACGGATCAATGGAAGACCTGTTCTTAGTTTAAGTCCAACATACTATCTTCATTACTTTTGTAATCCTTGTCATTACAATCTTTTGCACTTTTTCCCCAGTAATACTTGCCATCATAAAGTAAGAAAACAACTGCTTTTCTAGGTTATCTTCTACACGGGCTAGGATCACTTGGAGCTGCTTAAGCCAAGACCTATTCGAGTTACGCTTTGCTCTCTCTATGTCTTATTGGTACTTGCTTCACTGTGCAACTGCGAAGTATACGCAACAAAATCTCTTTATATTTTACAGAATTATGTTCCTCAGTATGTTTGTGAAAATTAAAACACAGAACTTGTCACTGGACTATAAGATTACACAGGGTGTGTACAATGGACACACTCTAATCTCAGCTGATTATCTGATCCGTGTTACTCTGTTCCAATTTCATTTAACAAGTGGCTCTCATCTGCTGGATATACTGAAAATTAAGTTTCATGAACTGTATATTCTGCACAACCCAACTACTATATGGGTCATGCTATCACAGCACTTTTAAAAATGCTATTTTAAAGATTTGAAAAATACCCACATTGTGTTTGTTCCAATATATTTGCTGTATCAGGACCACAAATTATCAGACCATCAAAATACGTGTTTTGAACATAAAACCAACACAATTAAAGAAACAAACCACTGCAATTTAATAGCAACAATCTCACTTTACAAGATAGTAATGATGGAAAATGTGAAGGAATCTGGAAAAGAATGCAATTAAAAATGACAGTTTTAAGACAACAGAAAGTTGAAAATTAAATAGCACAATAATTCTAGTATGTGGAAATTCTAAACAGAATGTTTACTTGATGCAGCATTCTTATAAATGACACTGTATTACCATCACTTACTGATATCTGATAAATACTATTCCTTTAAAGCAATATTTTTCTGTTCAGTGACCTTGCAGACTGACAGTAAGTAACCCAGACCCCAGAGCCACTTCACATGTGGTCAGTAGCAAAATTCCTAAACAGAAGAGGAAAGGACCTGGAACAAATGATGAATAAACCATAACTTAACTGCCAATATGGTGACTTCAATATTCAGTGCACTCCACAAATATTATTTTCAATTTCTTTTACGACATACACCACTTCCAAATGGGAATCAAAGCAAAACAGAGGTGAAGAGGCTTTATGAATGGAGAGGAGCACTAGCCTGGCAACTAGGAAATCCAGATTCAGTTGCTGGCTCAAGCCCAGATTCCCAGTTAAGACATTCAGTAAGACAGAAATTACAACACCGGCCTCCTAAGAAAACCTTGAAATCTACTGAAAAAAACAAAAAAGCCCAAAAAAACCCCACAATGAATCCAAGTCAGGCCTTATTATTAAAAATTAAATAGGAACTATATAATACTTTCTCTAATAGCTTTGGAGACAATGTAATAATTAACTTTATTAAGCATGACTGCTGCTAAGGCTGCATAAAAATAATTAAATGAAACATGATAAACTGAATGTATATGGACTCCACAACAGTGAACGTCACATACTTTCCCTTCTTTGAACCTGATTCATGAAGAAGTGAGAAGTGTGTGGTGAGCACGCACAGAAATCTCAGGAAGAAAACTGGTCCCACAGGAAGCGTGATTCCATAGCAAACTTTAGTGATACCAGGATTTAATTTCCAAGGTCTTCAATGATACTTAAGCAAACAGTTATGTATTTATCAAGCCAGGGAGGATGCTTTTTGGAAAAGGGGTCTTAATTTCAGTATTGACTGAAGTTCAAGAGAACTACATAAGAAAGTGTGTAAGTCACACAAGCGTAGATATGCACAGCAAAGTGAAACCAAAGTATTTTTCTCATTAAATAAAATGATGTGATGACCATCAACAGAGGAAAAAAAATCCACAAAGATATTTTTTGCAGTTTATTTTCAGTTATATTTTTTGGATAACCAAGCAGCTCTGTATGGAGAAAGCACAGAAGAGTCATTCTGGCACTTTTGGATAGTACATTATTATTTGTTTTTTCTTTCCAAAATTTTTCTAGACACATTCAGTCCACTTGCTCGGTCTATAGTCCATTTTATATGAGCATGATTAGCTCATATGATTCCAGAGGAAGCTAACAATATATACAGTCAATGAAACTATCTTCTTGGCTACTCTGGGCCCTTTAAAATGTCTTCTAAGTCTATCCTGGCTAAACAGAATCCACAATATACATGATAGCTACAGAATACACTGTATTGAAATGAGAAATGCTCAGCACAAAATGGGACTCTTGGCATGCAGCTTAAAATAAAAGGTAGAAGTTCAGAAGTTTATAAAATCTCAAATGGGGTCAATTAAAAGGAGTTAGCAAAAGAAGGGACTGTTCATTGTTACTGTAAAAAAGGCACTTTGAGTAAATGGGACCAGAATCGGAGGAATCTTAGTCGACACAAAGTTCAGTTTGGTTTCATAAAAAGGCTTCAATGCTAAGGGATGCTACTCAAGTTTCCTGCAGTTTTACATGAAAATAAATTGCTGAGTAGTTTATAATAAAGGACATAAAATGTTTACAACCAACTTGTAAAATTAAGAAAAGCATAGTATAAGCAAAATATTACTAAAAGCAGCAATGCATAGCCTTTCATTGAGATAATGCACAATTTTGGACACCATGTGTCAAACTCATGTTTTTAAGATACTTTCAGTAGCATTATCAACATAAAATTGGCCTACAAAACAAAAGCTTTACCAGCTCCCATTCATAAGGAGATTGAGGTCATAAACCAACCAAAATAACTTGTCAGTATTTTCAACATCCTGGATGACCAATATCAAGTATATGGAATAACAATCACACTCTTTGTTCAGCTATCTCACTGGAGGCAGCTGTTAAATCAGAGGAATGATTTTAATTCTTTTTCTAACATTTACACAGTAATGCATTTAAGTTCTTTCAAATGTTGCTCACCACAGTTTGTTTTTCTCTCCACAACAAACAAAAAGAAAATAAAAGAAAAAAAAAATTAAAAAAAAATCAAGCACTTCCACAGAAAGAATATTTGGCAATTTTATACTCCACTGAATGGTGGATTTTCACAACAGCTCACTTCAGATTGAAAGTCATTAGTGGTCGTTCCTCTCGCTTCTGCCAAGGACTCTTCTTATCTTCACCTTGGTCATCTTCCTCATCCTCCTCATCCTCCTCCTCATCTTGAACTGATGTTCGGTGTTCAGGACTAGTTAATGGCTCTGGTTTGGTATCTACAGTTCTCGTTTCCTCCTGCAGGCTGGGCAGCTGCACACCACTTCTCTTACTCGTGCCTTCTAGTAGGCATCGTAGAGCATTGTCCTCGGGGCTACAAACTGCTGTTCCACACTCACTGCCACTTTGGTCCATATCATCCAAGTACACAAGCTGTGTGTAAGCTGTGCTATCTGAAACCTTCCGCTCTCTCTGCTGGTGCTCTTGCACTGGTGGGTGACTCTGTGGTGCAGACAGATGATCTCCTCTTCCCTTTCGGGCAGATTTTGGTTCATTCATGTCAACGCCAGAGTCCAAACTGGCATCATTACTCCCATTCCTACCAGCTCTTTGGAGATCGATGTATGAATGTCTAACATGAGCATTTGAACGTCCATCTAGAGAAACAAACCATGCTCGAGGATGAGGCAATGGCTTTCCACCTCCTAATTCCATCAAAGCCTTTTCTGTAAGAAGCTGCACTTCACTATTCATTTGAGCCAGAGATGCATCGTTGAGTGAGGCAGGAATGGAAATAGATTCAGACATGGAAGCATTTTGTTGACTCCACTCAGCTGCACCTGCATCTTGCAAATGTTGCTGAGATATTGCTTGGGATGCTAACTGCTGGGGTTGCAGCTGTTGTGGGGGGTGTGGAAAAAGCCGTGCATGAGGGTTAGGAAGCTCAGCCTGAAGTCTTTCTATATCAATCTGCTGATCAGCTGGGACAACCAGTGGCTGGCTAACAAAAGGATGTTCTCCTGGCAGTTTCATGTAATGACCTGGGATGACCAGTGCAGGCAAAACTTTTCTGTAAACACTGTCATTGACTTGGTCAACGGAATTGCAGCAGATTAACTGACCTGGTCGAGGGAAAGATGTAGGTCTTTCAAGGTGATCAACTGAACGAGACATCATACAATCAGTAGGTCTGCAGTCCAGCAGCTCTTTTTCAGGGGCTGAAGGTGTGGGGTATATTTGTTCCTGAATATTGTATTTACTTCCAGTAGCAATATGATTCATAGATACTTGAATTTCTCTCTCTTGCTTTTCAAATAAAGGCTGAGACAGCATAGCATTGTAACTCCTCCTATACTCATCTTTGATAGGGGACTCATAGCCTTCAGCTGTTTCTGTAGATTTTCTTGTCTTTAAAGGAAAACTATCTGCTGACTTGTGGTAGTCTTTCCTTAGAGACCCGCTGGGAGTCAGGTCATCCAAGGAAATTCTGCTCTTGTCTTTCTCCTTCTCAGAAAGCAGTTCCTCTCGGGAGCTAAACTCCTGGGAAGTGCTGAATGAGTGTTTGAGCATAGGTGTATGCATATCTGCTTCTCCACTAGGTGATACCATCTCCATGTGGACAGCACTGATTAATTCCTTCGCACCTGAGTTTTCAGTGTGTCCATTGCTAGCAACGGACAATCCGCCGGGAAATTCTGACTCGCGACGTGAGAATATTAAATTTATATGGGACATTGAGGTTGCTTGATCCTTCTTGGAAGTGTCCAGTGCTGTCGAAAGCTGCAGTTTCTTATGATGTTGACGTGGTCTTAAACATTTTCTTCTATAAAAGCCAGTAACAAAAGAAGTTACACATTTATGACTGTTGTACACGGAAACAGGAGCAGCAAGTGTGTCTTAAGGGGAGATTTTTAAGCAGTGATTAGTATTAGGGGAATTGAGCTTTTATTATATAACCTAACAATTAAAAGCTTATTCCAGCAGCGAAGATAAAATTAAAGAATAACTAATGTCAACTGGGAAATATCTCAAGCACCAATTACAAATTGGAGCAAATGTCTGGAGAAGGCAAATACAAAATCACTCACTAATATACACTTGCTGACAAAAGTTTAACATTCATTTTAATGTAAGACCAACAGAAAGATCACTTGCAAATGTGTGAGGCATCCCTGCCCATGGCAGGGGGGTTGGAACTAGATGATCGTAAAGTCCTTTCCAACCCAAACCACTCTATGATTCTATTACATGTATAACAGGTACAATGACAGACATCTTGTACCTATGCCCATGTTCGATAGAAGGTTTTAGAACATCTTACAAGAAAATCACAGGTACAGGTGTGTCTGATTCACTCAACTCCCATCCTACCAAAGGCAAAGATTATACATGGTGCATGTAAGCAGGAATGTATGAAATCTGATTTCACTGTTTCTTCTTCAAGCCTTTGCTTGCCTTCCCCACCTCCCAAATTCCCAAAGTAAAAAAGTTTCAATAGAAAAGCTTGTAATTTGACAAGCACAAAAAAGCTTCTATTTCCAACAAGAACTAAGTAACCAGGACTATGAATCTTACCTGCAATAATACAAAAGTAGACACAGCAAGACTAGAAGTATGAGAGCCATCCCTCCTAAAATTGCCAAAAGAAACATTGTGTGATAGCTGGTAATGTCGTGAGTTACAACGGGACCTGGAGGGCCAGAAAAGAGAATTTAGACCTCTAACAACCTGCAAACAGGAAGAGGAACAACACTTAAACAAAGAGAGGGACATCCCCTCCCCTGTTATCAGGGTGCAAAGTGAGCAACACTGCTGCTCATAGCCCTGGTGCCTATTGAGCAGACCATGTTTGGATCAGGGAGCAAGTTGCGGAGAAAGCACGTGCTGGTTTTCATGACTGCGAGTCCAAATGTATCGTTCTGTGGAAAAGCAGTTAGTTTCAATGTGAGCATGCGCCAGTGAATGCTGCCTTCCAGTTCCTGATGCCAACACACTGCGCCAAAGCTCTCATCACTGGAGAAAACCCATCACAGCATCTTCCAGCACTGTAATGCGTGTAGCAGCCCTGTGGCAACCAACTTCTCTTTGACAACATTTGTGGTGCTTTGCACTGAACGGTACACACAGTGCAGTACAGGATTCATTGGAAGATACGTTGGTGCTCTGAAGTCTAGATCAAGCCAAGCCAAGCAGATCTTCAGTAGCTTTAAAAAACAGGCTGTAGTGAAACAGTGTTGTAACTCCAGGTTTCAATAACGCTTAGTAAATGTTCTAACATACAAAGGAATGCACACATGTGGACAGCATCTGTTCACAATTATGCATGTGTAACCCTGTTGGTTTGTAAAATCCTTATCGTTTTTTTGAAATAAAGGCCCAAATGTTCATCTGCAGACAAGGAGGTACAGCACCAGCTGACAGAGTAACATGCACGTATTGTGAAGGACAGCAAACTTGGCCAACATTAAGGTTCTAGATCATGAGGTCTGTAAAACCTCATTTGTGGATCTTGAGTGGTCAGCAGAGGCACTGCTAGGAATACAAAGCTCATTTTTTGCCCATTTTTTGAGAAAAGAAATCAAATAGATTCAATGAGGAGATAAAATAAGCAAAAAGACATTAACCTCATTAAAAATAACATCAATCATATGGCATTTGGGAAATATAAATATTTATACATTCTGGCCCACTACTACCTTTACATAATTGATTGACACTGTTGCTTCAGGACATTAAGCAAAAAGAAGAGATGAACCACTTGAATTTTTTCATGAAGATATTGTTCCAATTGTGACAAAGTTTTACGAACCCGGATTTATCCCTGAGAAAGAAGGAAAAGTAAAATACAAGTAGAAATTCTGCCATACAAGTTAAAATGCAAGGACAAATAAGTGTTCTCCTGTTAGCGTTACAGGCCTTCTAGCCTTAGAGTTACAGGCACGATTTCATGACTAGTGTAACTTCCTTGCAGTCTGCAAAAAAATGTCTGATTCAGGGCAGTTGCTTTTTCTTAAAGTATGATTCTTCTGTAAAGTTCCATTAAATTCAGTATGATAGCTTATCCAGATCTGCACCTGCCTCTAAACTCTGCTCACCAATGAATGAGCTGAATATTCCAGCAGTTTCATTTGATATAACCTCAAATAAAAAGCTTGCTTATCATGGAACAACTTCATGGCATATACAAACAGACTTTCAAAACAGTCCTCATGCTAGGGTTTGTTTTGTTGGTTAGATAAAGTTTATTTAGCTTGCACAGCTAAGGCAAGAATATTTTCATTTCTACTGTGTTTGGTTTTCATCCAGAAATCCTAATAAAGAAAATCTGGAAGAGGAGGAGTTTTTTGTTTGATTGACTGGCTCTGTTACACACAGAAGTATCTCTGGTTATTGGTGGCTGAAGAACTAATACTATGAAATCTGAGGCAGCCACAGACAGGAAAAAAGGAAGAGCAAGCTGCAGCATTAATGACCTCCACAGGCACAGAAGTACATATAATGCCTAATTCAAAGTGATTTTCTACAGTTACGCCAAGAGGCTTGCAGATGGCAACCAGTCAGCTCGTCTACTAATGCCACTCTATTAACACACTTTCCAGAACTTCTACGCCAAGTTGTTTGCGGTGTGAATTAATCAGTCACCAAGATGATGCCAAGTGTAAGTCAGGGCAAAATGGGCATCTTCAGCGTAAAAGAAAAACAAGTTACAATCAATCAGTAAGACCATTAGTAAACATCTAACCCAGAATGACATTGGTCTTATGTGAATCCATTTCTTTGGGAGTTTCTGCACAGAAACTTCACAGCATGTATTTTTCTACCTGCTGGAACACCAATACATTGATGTTATAACTCCCCTTATTTTCCAGCAATGGCTCTACCAGGCAGTGGTGACATAAATGCATCAAAGCAGGAACACTTTAAAAAGTTTCCCATGGAAACAGCTCAGACATTCTGAGCACAAGGGTTGCCCCCCACAATCCCCAAAAGATTTTGGCCCTTTACTTTCAGATTTCTTTTTTTCTAATAATCCATTATTGATCAAGCTGCGGCATCTCAGATGGGGTCATTCTGAAAAATATAAACATTATAGATGAATACGTAACTACTCAGTGCTGTCAACATCAATAAAATTCGACTCCATCTTACCTGGGATAGTAGGCGACATAGCTGCAACCCAGTAGCCCAGCTGAGGTGCAATATAAGTCCAGGTCAACTGATTTCCTTCTTGTTGTACAAGGCCCAAACTACTCTTCAGCCATGTCCCTGTAAATGTAAAGTTTGTAGGAAGGTGTTACAGATATAGTCATACCTTCCTCTGCAAACAAGTAGAAACGTAAGCAGTAGCAAACCCTGTCAATGTGCTGTAGGGGAAGTGTGCACTGCTGTTAAGTGGGAGATTGTGCCTTTTTGTCAGTGGCATTTGAGAGCTCCCACAAGCAGTCACCCCTGTGGCCTTCTCAGAAGCTTTGGACACGAGAACATTGAAGATTTAAAAAAAAAAAAAGAGAGAGAGAGAAACTTCAAAAAGGATGAAAATTATCATTGCAATATTAGATTCCATTTTTCATATAAGGATATTCCTGAAGCTGATAATATGTAGGCAGCCCACTTAAAAACTGTATTTCAAGAGACATCACATCTCCCAGACCACATGCGAATTCTACACACCACCCTTCTGTGATCTCTGGCTATCTGCTTCTAGAAGACTGAAGAAAATATTTCCTCAAAATGTCAGTTTTCCTTTACAGAAAACAAGCTTACGAATGTTACTGCCAGTAAGTGTAGAATTAAGTTGTACCATCACTTTGATTCAGCAATGTTAGCCATTCAGAATGTGTATTCATCGAGGAATACTCTTTGGTAATGGATGATGAGTTTTTAAAACATGCTTCTCAAAGGAAATGTAAAAGATTTTTTAGAATTATCAAATGATCATCCTGAAATAAAGACAATTGTAAAACAATGCGTTTAACTTCATATAACTCTTAAGTAGTACAGATTGACAATCTACATCAGTTGAGAGTTGTTCTACTTTCAGAAGATAAATGGCTACGAAAACCCTTTACAACTTAATCAGCTGTATGCCTTTTTGTAATTCATGAAGACTCCTGATTCTGGGGCTGTAGGATAAAAGTCACCTTGGTTTCTCATATATTAAATGTCTAGTTTGGCTTGTAGACTGCTTCCATATGTAGTCTCTTTGGAAGAAACAGAGTTAATGGCCTGGACACTGAGAGCAGTTCTGGGAAGCCACCCTTGGCACCAAGCAGCGTTTCCAAAGCTGCAGTCCTGGCTTGGCAGCTCCAGTGGGTGCCGTAACGCAGGGCATTAACTCCCTAAGAGGGTTCTTCACACACTTTGGTGCCATTGCCGGTATGGCTGACCTGTGTACAGAGAAGGGTTAAATCTCTCTGTAGCACTTCTGCACTTCTGTAGTACAGCTCTCTATTCTTGTGCATTTGCCTTACTCAGCTTCAACTGCTCACTGTAAAGGCAAGCTGCATCTTGTACTTGTGACTCCCTTTCCTTCACATAATCTCTGGCATGTAATTCCTGAAACAGTGCTTTTCATCAGATGTCACTCAGGACTATGAGCGAGCATTTGTGGATGACAGTCATCTCAACACTTAGCAGTGAATGTGTAACATGCAGAAGAGATGCTGTTGTTGTTTTGGGGTTTTTTAATACCTCTGAGATCCTGATGATTTCCTCTGTATTCCTTAGATTATCCATCTGTGCAAACTCTGTACATATCAGAATGGCTTTCCTGAGTGTATTTATTTCCTCTCTACTACTGATTTGTCTTATGTAAGTACACGCTTCTTCACCAAGAGGGCGATCAGGCATTGGAACAGGCTGCCCAGTGCAGTGGTGAAATCACCTTCCCGAAGTGTTCAAAACCACACAGATGAGGCCCTCAGTGACACGGTTTAGTGGTGGACTTGGCAGTCCAGGACTTGGGGTAACAGTTGAACTTGGTGATCTTAAAGGTCTTTTCCAACTTAGTTGATTCTATGATGCTATGATACAGTGAAACGTTTAGAAAAATACAGGTCTGAGACAATTTCTAGATCTAGGTGACTATTACTGCCAGACAGCGACTCTGTATTTGCAACCAAACAGAACTTGTGGGCAACAGGAGAAAGGAATTACTAATGTAATTTTCAGTTTTCCAAGTATCGTTTCCAGTCTGTACAGAATAGCTATAATCTGCTATTTCATAAAGAAAGTCACACAAGACAAGTGATTTTGATTCACAGTACCAAAAGGACCAAAATCTGTACAGATTTGCACATATGGCATCCATAGCTGTCAAATCAGAACACACTGAATTCTCCACAGTTATGCGTGAAATTTCTGGAAAAACCAGGAAAAGTAGATTCATTTTCTCCACTAAGATGGCCACTATCCCTTCAAATTTTCTACCTGTGCACTTTCGGGGAGATGTCATACTAATAGCCCTGAACCACAAGGTGAGAAATAGCTCATAGGGTCAAAACCTGCTTCTAAAATGTCATTTGTAAGAAAACTCCTGTAAGCTTAAACTTTGTAATCTTTTTCTGCAAATTCTGGACAAATGAGATTATGCACCAACTACTCAAATACGTAACAATTTGAAACAAAACTTTGAAGACTAAAAGAGATATAAAAGTGCTGATTAAAAATAAAAGAATGGAAGGATCTGGGTCCTTGATGAACCATGATGAATTCATCATGCTTCCCATACTTCTCTTTGCATCTCTAAGCCATTCAAATTTACACACAAGCAGAACACATACGCAATGTAGCAAAGTTCATTACCTTTGTAGTCTATAGAGCTACCTGCTTGAGCAGAAACTATTATTGATTCCCTCACTAGGGGGAACTTGTGTCCAGCTTGCTTTATTCACATTGCGTTGCATTCTAATGAACACAGTCCTCCTAATGGCTCTTTAAAAGCCTTTTGCTCAGTAACGCTCTCCTTGCATAATGCGGTGATCAAGACGCTAACAGAGGCTGAACTCTTACCGCTGTGAGCAGAGCTCAGCTGCCATCCTGCCAAACAAGCAGCAGCTCCAATTGCTCATATTTTACAAATGAAAGGAATCCCTGTATTTGCAACGGAAGCAAACAGTAGCATCTACTGCACATGGTCAGTCAGATTTCATGCTTGTCTTCTGCTCATTTAGGTGACCCTTTTTTGCCAACCACTGTATATATGGAAGAAAATGTATGGGTCTGTATAACACTAGGGAAAAATGTAATTCCCTCTTTCTCTTATGGACAGTGAAGAATTTCAAAAGACTAACAGATATATCCAATATTGGTCATCTTTAAACAAGAGTAATGGAACTTTTGTTGACCATACCCTACATATCAGTATGTGATGACTGCTAGAAAAGAACTACTGTTTAAATGGCACTCTCCTAGGTTCCTTCATCAGGACACCACCAAGTGCGGGTTCCTGCGAACCATGGGTACACAGTCTCATCAACTGCCTTTTTTAATACCTTCTTGGTCCAACACTTTGGTGATAAACTCTCCTCTTACAGTTACACCATCGCTTAACAATAGTCCACTAATAAAAGAGAGCACCCTCCCACATGATGGGATAATGAGAATAAAGAACTCCATCCTTCAGAACAGCAGCGGCAAAACAGATTAGAGTGAAACCAGTTGAAACGCAAAGTCCTGTATTGTTTCCTGTGTGACCAAATAGCCAAAAGCCAACATAGTATTACTGGAGGGAACTGATATGCCTTTGGTATTTTCCAAATCCATCATGGCATTTCCAAGTTCCTCTCATGTTTCATCCTTTATAAGTTCTAATATCCTGGTTGCTTTTCAACTATCATTGAACACCAAGCAGTGTTCTTGTAGCTCCCTACATACAATGCCTTGCTTTAATAACTAATGTTGGAACTTCTACCAAGCAAAACCCAGTCGCGTTGTACTTATTGGCCACTGCTCCTAGCATTTCAAGCTGCTTTGAGCAAGCAACAGTTCATTGCTGTGCAGTCTCAAGAATGAATTCCCTATTCCATTCCAGATTCTTCCCTGCAAGGTGAAACAAGATTTTTTCCTGTCCCAGAAAACACAGCTAGTTACTCTCTGTGCCCTCACATACTTGTTCTTGTGCCAAGGAACGAGACTGAGGGGCAGCGAGTAAAGGACTTTCATTTTTTTGTCCATTCCTATCCACTAGCCTGCAAATGGGGTAAGGGCAAGCAGCATTCATTTTCTTCTGCGTAGGCAGGATTACAACTGCTGGAGAACTAAGCAGAAGGACTTAGGAAGGAAGAGAGGTCTTACCTCCCCGCATGGCTGTATTATGATAATTTAATTCATTATTCTCCAAATATCCCATAACATCTACTTCCTCCCCCTGCCCAAGGCAGCAAAATCAACTGGCTTCATTGCTTATAAAGTTTTATACATAATATGCAATGTGTTAAGTAACAAGCAATATAGGATTATAAATAAAAAGCAGTATGGATAATTGATGTACTAAAACTGGTAATTTTTGTTCCAGATTGATTACATATTTCCAAAGAAAACTTGTCAATGCATTTATGGAGCAGAAACAGCAAGTTCAGTATAGTTTGTAAGGACTATATGATTTGGGCCAGTTTGCCATTAATTCCTAAGAAGTGTCTGGTGCTCCATGGAAAACTTCTATATATAGAGACATTCTTGCTTATAGATCATTTTTACATTTCTCTTCCTCTTTTTCCTCTATTACTGCTCTGTGAAGCCAACATGCTGATCCAGGATTCAAGTCAGGGGAGCTGTCTCCTGGCTCAGACTAATGGCAGGGGGAGAACCAAAAAGTTTCTTAACTCTTTCCTCACCAAAATTATATTTAGTATTAGTGACCTTTTCAAATAAATGGTGTCATTTAACAAACTTTTAAAAAAGCTTATGAAACACCTACCCAGCACTCCTTCATATATGGCAAGGTAAGAGAACTACCATCATTAACACTACAAAGGATATAAAAATGAGAGTACTTTAAAAGAAATACAAATCAAAAAACAATCAGATAAAGAAAGCTGAGCTCCATCTGGCTGCAAAAATACCCAAATATCAGAGACAAGTTGAAGATTTCAGCAGAGCAGGAGAAATAAATTCTGCTACAGAGAAGAATCTTAACGCTTTGCAGTGACTTTGATTCTGATGAACATAATTATTTATCTCTGGCAGCTTTTAGGATTTGCCAATGGGGGCAAGAGGGGGTTATGACAAGTAAATTTAACAGCAAAAGGTTTGCACATTAAGTATTT